GGATTTTGGAAAGCAGTTTAGGTGTTATATGACAGTTTGTTTACGGTAACAAAGCTTGATATGTTTGATTGGATGTGACGAACAAACTAGATAATGGTTCTATTGTGAGTGTTATCGTAAGATGTGTTTGTAAGGATGTGTTGTAATGAGACTGATGTAACCGTCTAATAGTAATGATATTCGTGGCGCAACTTCTTTTTTTATTTCGCCTTTAATATATTAAAGCCTTAGTTAAGTCATAGACCAAAGACAAACGTTTTTCTATATATATCTATCTACCACTCCTCTGCAAACACCGTCGTTACATTGTCAGTTCTTTTTCGCAGGTCTCCATTGACTTTGTTTTCTTTCGACCTCTTTCTGGGTCTAAAATTCTTGCCAATTGATGGATTAATACTTACCTGGCGTCGGGGCAGGTTATTGCACTCCAAACGGGTCATATGGAGCGTGTAATTTGTGGTGTATCTGTTTCTAAATATTTAGCAATCCTGTAATAATAAATGCAATATCAATTACGTAACGATATTAACAATCCTTGGATTTGAATTATCGGCTTCCACTTCAGATGAAAGCGTGTTCCTGGGCAATCAACTTCCGTACGAAATCATTTCAATGGAAATCTAAAATAAAAATTTGTAAATAAAGAACGTAGGAATCGTCTTTCTTGTTTCTGTAATGATAGTATGAAAACAATTAACGAAATAATTATTACATTTTCAAGTGAATTATATGAATTACTAATTTTGTCTTTTGTTTCAAAATTACTGTATTTTTATATAGTATTTCAACAGTTGAACATTAGTTTGTCTTCATACATTTCACATATCTGACGTGGCTTATATAACATAATGTTTCGTATGGTATGCCAGATGAAACATTATTAAAAGAGAGAAATTTTTGTGAAAAGAAAAACTGTTGATATGTTACAATGTAAGAAAAGAGGGTATTAATAAGTGCGCTTAAAACCACTCTTTTTTAAATTTCAGAAATAAACTTTTATGAAATTTACATGATTATCATACTTATGGTTCTCAGATGATATACTATTTTATATGCACCTATTCAGATTTGTGCATGGGTGTTTTACAACTACTAAAGTACGGCAGAAAGGCATAAATTAAAGTATTGGAGAGTCGTAGAGTCAAACATTCGCCAGACATTTAAACAATACTAAGTTTAAAATGTCAATTAGTATTTGTTTACAAGAAATTTGGTCAAGCCTCATATCTTCGAGTGCATCTTCCTGTCCAATATCCCAGGACTCTTTGCGAAACTTAAATAGTTTTATTGTTTCTCGATAATTCCAGGGTAATCATTTTCTATAAAGAAACCGGATGAAATTAAAATGTAATTAAAAAATTATCATACAAATAATTAAATGTAGCAATTTAACAAGAAATTAGTGGTAGCGAGTTGTCATAAAGACATCGCTTTACATTAAACAGATAATGAAATTAAGAGTGGATGAAAATCGTTGTATATATAACACCAGCATTAATTTTTAAAACTTAATATATATGATATATGGTATTAAAACTAGAAACCCGTAAATAGATACCGTAAGAGAAGAATGTGTCTTCTTTTAAAAGGTCAATTTTTCAAAAAAAATATTTCCTAAAAAATTGATGACTTAATTCCACAGAAATAACCGCCGTTTTTTTTTTGCCTGGACCGCATTTAATCAGAGACAAAAGCTTATCTTCGTATTCTTTATTTACTTATTTACTATGCATATCGGGTGCAATATTTTTTTGTGTAACTTGCACCCCTCTTCAGGTTTTACATTTTTATAAATTGGTAAATTTAATTATTACATTTGTTATTACGGTAAATTACAACAATTTTAAATATATTTACACAATACTTACAAATCTGTTTTATGTTTAGACATACATCTGCCCAATGTTGATGTTGTGTCCCCTAAGGCATTTTTAGACCATTTTCCCCTCTTTCTGTTTTCTTTCCCTTTAGCTTCCCCCATTTTCTCCCACACGTTGACAACCTCCATTCTATCATTTAAGTTTATGGTTTTGTTTTTATTAACAACTAGCTGCAAGGACTCGCTTTGCTGGGTTTTTAAAAAGTAACGATAGTGAAGATTAATATAATTACAGTAGACCCCACTATAACGCTTAGATACGTTCCACGCTAATCGAATTTTACGTTGTAGGAACGATTAAATACATGAGCCAATCGCAGCCCGATAGGTGGGAACTTTACGGACTAAGGCTGTTCGAAAGGTTTTCTTCTATAAAATTAACCGATTCTAGACTAATTCGACTCAACATTTCCAAAATACGTATAATTTTTTGGGAATAATCTGTATAAACTATGCTATAAACAAAAAATTATAGGATTACTTACCGAGTGTGTACCGTTCGACTACG